AGAGTAACTTAAGGCCATCAGTTCAGATAAGTTACTTGTTATTTTATTTTAGGGGGGGTCGCATGTCTTCCACTCATCTCAAGGTATTCTAGATTTCTAACGAATGTGATTAGTTGGTTACTGATTACCCTACCATTAAGTCTATCTATTAATCCGTAGCCGAGATTGATTGAATGAATAGTAAATAACCAGAAATACTCGGTCGGCTTCGCTTAACAATTTAATTTCATATTCAATAGCGACGAAGCGCGATCGGATAGAATAACATCTTAGATACGACATCGGTGCTAAAGAAGTGGACAAACATGTTGTATCCATAGGGTTTACATAAAAAGTGATCCAGATGTCGATCCAAATTTCAGATTGACTTGGGCAGCTCAAGTACGAGCGACTTGAAGACATTCTAAAACTATTCCTCGCGGACCCTTTGATCCTTTCCCTTTGAACAGTTTACTGAGGCGATGGTTGCCGTAACGACTTGAAATAATTTACAAAACGGATTTTTTTTAAGGTAAGCAAGAAACGTTGCATTATGTACGATATGTGCGAGTTCGGGTAATTGATTCCCCATAGGCGTCACTTGATGGAGTTGCCGTGCATTCTCTTGCATTGTATTCGTGGCGAAAAACACTCACTCGAAGAATTGAAGAAGTAACGCAGCAGTTTCGTTTCGCTCGACAGACTTGAGTGAGAGATTTGCTTTGCTTTATCTACACGACCCTTAATCCGACATTCGACTCAATTCTTTACGGCCACTAAACGAGAAGCAAAAATTGAAAGTTAGCTGCAAGGGAAGTCAAAGTACGTTATCAGATTAGGAGTTGATATGTAAGTTTTGTATGGATGTATGTATAGGGCATGCATGTAGGTATGTAAGGTATGTAAGTTTTGCTTTAAAGTGTGCGCAACCGCCTGCTAAGTATAATCAAACGGCAGATATTACATGGTATAATTTTTTTTGCTGTTGTAAATGTGGGATCTATATACGTGTAAATGTGTGTGTGTGTGTGTGTGTGTGTGTGTTATAGATTTTGTCATTTTCTTAATGCTTAAATACTATGTTTTGTTTCGTTTCTCTTTTCTTTTTTTTTTTTTTTGGTTTTTTTGTTTTTCTTTTTTCCTTTGCCTCGTTTTAATGTTTATTTCTGTAATGTTTTTCATAGATTGCTATACACACACACTGTCGTCTAAGCCACCTTCACTTTTAATTCTCCATCGCCAACTAATCTAATACGTGATAGTCTAACAAACAAGACAATAGCCAGCCACCGCATTTGCAACAGTCTTTATTTTTTGTCATTTGCTGTTTTTTTTGTTTTTTTTTTTCGCCCCGACTCGCATCCTTATTGACCGCATAATGTTTATCTAAACATAAATATTTCTTTATGACATTAAACACATTTTGTGTTTTGTTATTTTGTTTTTTGCTCTCGAAAATGGTAAACGTACAAAATTTGATAACAATTTTGCTCTATATATAATATAATATATATATATATATATATATATATATATTGTAAAACTTTCACTACTAGCAGCCATTAAACCGAAAGTGCTCAGCGTACAGCAGGAAGTTGTTATAATAGAAGTCAAAGTTAAATATACATACATATATACATAAGCATACGCACGCACAAACACACACACGAACACACAATATGTATTATACATATATACGTATACAAGATTAATTCATTCTGCTTTCAGTACTTTTTTCTTAATTTTTATAAAAAATTTATTAATAAATTAATTATTAATAAATTGTTTATCGTTTTTATGACACGTCTAAAATTGGCTGACGCATTAATTGCAAATCATTAATAATTTTAATAAATTAAATTTTAGTTGAATTTTAACATTAATTTTCATCAATGGCAGTAACAAATCTTTAGCAAATTTTCTGGCATTCACAGCGGTTTCAGTAAACCGCTACATAACAGTGGTGGGCTCATAACTCAATGTAAATACAATTAATGAAAAAAAAGAGTCGCTTTTCCATTATAGATATTTAGGTCAGTAGGAGTTACAGGTAGGCTAAGGGAGCGGAGAGGAAATGATGTTTATATATATGTACGTTACACTTGCTAGTAGAGGCATGTGGCTGCAGCGGTTCCAATGGCAGATTCCTAGATGGTTTAACGCGAGCTCTTCAAGAAATAGAAAAAACCTTATTGAAGGAGGCCCTGTTGATAAAAATCACTTTCATCGCAACTCTGGTTAGCGGCGAGGCCTGTCTGACACCTCATTATTCAGCGTCCTCATGCAACTTCGGCATAACTAAAGCCATCACAATACCTCCCGAAGGGCCTTCATCAACAGTCAGGCAATCAGGGTATTCTTCAGCCAATTTGAGTACTTGTCCCTTACTACACGCGATCCATGTCACGCTTGCTATTCGCACACATTGCCATTCATACATCCCCCCGAAAACCCACACAGCACTGTTCAAACGGCGAGATGAAATGTTCGATCCATTCTCCTCGCTTATGAAGCAAGAAGGGAAAAGAAAGCTGCCGCCCACATATATGGAAATTGTACACCAGTGTTGGTCGGATGAAAGTAAACAAATTCTGAACAATAAGCTAGCGGTGCCTTCTTCTCTTCTACAGAGATTTCTTGATTTCTTCCTTTCTTTCCTTTTTAAACAGATCTATGAACAATGACTTCTAGGTGCTATTTTTAAGAAGGAAGCACATAGAAGCATAGTGCAAAGCATTTCCGGAGCAGTTTTTTAAAACGCAAAAAACTTCATTTTCCACAATGCATGATATAACATAAAGAGATGAAAGGAAAGTAGTCCTCTCGAATCTAACGAGTATCATGGGCAAAAATAAGGTCCAATTATTTATTAGTAAGAAATGAAATCAATTTTAATTGGTCGGATAGTGTTTAATATAGATTAAAAGATGCACTTTCTCAGGTAATCCCTTATCATAATTACTGACCACCATATTCGATGGCTGCCTTGCTTGAGAAAATTGCATTAGGATTAGTGCACAATGTTAACCTAAACTTGTGGGCAAAGAGCTTCCTGCCATCGCTTTGTTGCACGTCGGCTTGCATCTCACACAACCAAGGCATCACATGCGATAAATAATTCTTCCAAAATCGCCGGCAAGCAACAAAATGATGTTTTATTTTAAAGTCAGCGAGAAATAACGGCCATGCGGCCTTGTGGCAAAAAGCACTCATGCCGTCATCAATGAGCCAACTTGAACGTCCCCTGCATGTCAAACTTGATAAATTCTTGTCGGCAAATTTATGTAAAATAATTCTTTTATATTTTTAAAGCTATGCATGGTAATCGCCGAAGTCGAAAATTCGTTCTCGATTTCTTCGCTTAACAAACATCAAAACAAGTCTATCTAAACAAATCTGCTTTTATCTTCAACTTATAAGCAGGATTGCAATATTGCAGACAGTTAAGTACGCACCTGAATTACTAGGTAAGCAAGTCTATGTTACCCATTATAACACATAGCATATACAAAAAAAAAACAAAAAAAAAAAAAATTAATTATTCCGATAATTTAGATCGTAAGCCATTGATGCACTAATGGACTAAATTGTTTAACGCAAAATAACAAAGACACATTTCGTTCTTCGAGATTGCACAAGACCAGCGATTTAGACCAACGATTAATGTTGTTAATCCATGCCGTTCGTAATCGAAATGACAAAATTAATTATCCCAATTATCGGGTCGCAATTCTAAATCACTAACAATAAATGCTTGCTTATCAAGATGGTCACATTCGATGGCCATTATTTTCAGGAACATACTAAATTGCTGCGGATGTATTCAACACTCAGCCGGAGGTGAGACAGACCTACCTGTTTATTATAGCAATCGATTCAGAATGACTTTCTAAATCGTGATATCGATTCGACGACCGTCCGTCATATATTCTTGTGCTCTACCTACTGGTTGTAATTTTTCAAATATTTCAATGAATGTTGATATACTTACTCACTATTAAGTATAGCTCGGATCGGACAGCATTTTTAATCATTTCCTATATGATGCCGTATTTTGAAAAGTCGTTATAAGAACAACTCCATTAAGCGAAAGTCTAAGTCGTGGCACTACACAGTACAACAGTGTTTCTTTAAATAAATTAGTTTATCACTCTGTAAATAATAATTATACAAATATCATACTATACCGTTGTGACTGCCCTCTCTTTTCGTCACTTATTAAATTTATTTAGTAAAGCGGCCAAACTTCAACAATTCGGACATCTGTAAATGCATATCCTTTTGTGGTCTGCGGAAACCCATAACGCCTATGTATTTTTCATGAGCGTAAAATTCGGATTCGATTTAACTAAGCCTGCCTCTGCTTATCTGAGTAACATTGTTACGCATGACCGCAGACGTTAAAATTTCATCTAACGCTCAATGCAAATACCTTTAATGTCTTTTAAGATGTTTTAAGTATGTAAGAATGACTTTTCCAGAATTCGATTTGGACATTGCACTCTATCGGTAAGTTTACTGTAACTGCACCTAATGTGTTGGTAGCAATAACGTAGTTTTTTGATTTACTGGTGGTAATTAAAAGGTTTGGTATGACGCCTGCATTCTGCAATAGCTTTAATTTAAAACTTATCTCATTTGTTTTTTTTCTTAATTTCGCAAAGGCATTCTTAGCGAAAACACAAACCACACAAATGTGTGGGCTAACTCGGTGTGCTATTTCTACAAAATGACAATTAACCACACTAATACCATCCACAAAATGACTACTAACCAAACTTGCATAAATTATGATCAAAATATTATTATATTTTTTTCTATGTGTTCCAAATATCTAACAAAGTGATTGTAATACACTATTGGGAGCTTCAATCATAATTTGGCTAAATTCAATTTTATTGTGTGGCAATAGTTAAGGATTCAAATTAAATTTCTTTTCTTTCTTACAATAAATACTTGTATTAGTGGCATGTAATGCTATTGTGAACTTTACAAAATATAAAAAAAATTTAATTACTTACCGAATGTTCAGCTAAATGATTTTGCAATTCAGCACAAGTAAGAAGTGTGGCCTCCGATAAAGTGGGTGCATTCTCCAACTTATGCTCCATTTCACGCAACCATTTACGTAATTCTTTGGGATCTTCATTGAATAAACCTTCGTTACGTTGATTATCAGCCAGCATCTATAAGTAGGCAACAATAATAATATTAATATGAAGAGTATATTTTTTTTAGCCAAGACATGCACTCACCTTAAAACAATTATCCATTGGATTATCTAAAACGCTGGTGGCTCCCTCTATTTCACAACGTGCCTCTTTACATGTATCCAAAAGGTTTGTGTCCATAATGTAATTATAATTAGTTTGTATTGCAGCCCACAAATCATCCTTGCCAGATCCAATACCTAAAGTAGCAGCACTACTATGCAAAGATGATGAACTGTAACCGCTACCCCATGAATGACGATTTTGTTTACTACTACCGCTACCACCATTGGCGCTGTTGTTGTGATTACTGCCAATACCGTTTGTGCAATTGGCACCGCTACTACGATTAAAGCTTATTGCATGCATACGAGCGAGTTGATTTGTAAGGTTACGATCGACATTTTTCTAAAATAACAAAAGAAAAAAAGAGAAAAACAATCAAAAATAGATTTCAATTCAATTTACTTTAAATTATATAAAGCTAAAATCGAATGACTTAAGATCAATTAATTTGAATATCAATAAAATAATATGGCGTAGAAAAAGCTTAAATACTAATGCAAATCTTTGGCAGTTTTACTTATAACGCCAGCTTAAGATACGTTCGTTTTAGAAATTAATTAATAGATAAGCAAATTTCTCATGAGGCAAATAACACGTCAGCAGACTCTTACAGGTCGGTCCGTCGCAAATCTTCTTTCTTCTTTGGTGCCATCTTTTCGTCAGTTTAGACTGCCGTGAAGAACATCTGTGCTATTCTTATGCTCAGATAAAAATGTTTACTGAGTTAAGTAACTAACTAGTTGCATATCAATGCTATGCTGAATAGCAAATGATTATTTATAACGATCACAACCGATTGCGTCAAAAATGCTATCAATAGACAATCGGTCGATAAAGTGTTCGTAGCTCGACAGTTCGACTAAAGAAGTCACAGAAGACTTTGCCAGACCGTTTCAAAACAGTTTTGTAAATGCTACAAAAACACACTAACACCTTTATTTAAATCACTTCGTAATTTTAGAATGATCAGTGGCCGGGCAGGTGAGAATCGCGACTACCGAAACAATGTTCACGGGTTCAAATCTCATATGCGTAAGAGTAATTTATTTTAGTCGTAGCTATAACGAGTGCTCAGTAGGCGGTAAAGGCATAATACTTATCGACTAGTTTACAGCCATTAGCTACCTATCTCTTTCTCTTTCGTCTTGCTGACCGGGCGAACAGGCGACTTCTCCTGAGTGATATGTGGTATTAAAAAAAAAAAGGATTAAAGATCATAACCGTAACCGCTTTATTTCAAGCATAAATTAATTTCTGGTATTTATGAACAAATCCTCCCATCGTTTTTTCTGCAATAACGATGCGTCTAAATTAGTTTCATTATTCATGCCGAGGAAGTACTTATGTTAGATAAGTTTAATGAAAAACAAGTAAGAAACTTAAATTCGGTCAGGATCGCATCTTCTATACCCATCACCATTTATCCCAAAAAAAAAAAAAAGACAAAAGAAGTAAAAGAACAAAATTCTCCTAATCTATAATATGAAGCGGGCACAGTTGATTCCTCTTGAAGTTTAGGTCTTTTAGAAATTCTTAGGCTTAGATATCTACATTTTCGCTAACGGGAGAATTTCTACCAGAGATACTACAAAGTTACACAAACAGGCCGATGGACAGCCGGACAGGCGGACATGTTTAGATGTGTTCCAAATTTAAAATTTGGATATTTTATGGAGTTGTTGAAGCCTGTTTCTGCCTGTTATGAGATATTAAAAAAAAAAACAATTAAATTTAGATACACTATAATATTGGGTAATATTGGGTCAATTTCTTCCACTTTGATGCGCAAAGTGGTACAGTGATGTAGTGGTGGCCATAGAATAGGCTTTCAAATTCTTGTACATTTTTTTTGTTGCAGTTCATGAGTAATGAGCAACAAAGCAATTTTTCATTGCCTTTGAAAAACAGAGGTGTTCTCAGTTTATGTGGTGCTGTGGACGTGTCTTTCGACCGATTTGGCTCATTTCCAGTACCAACCTGCGTGCAAGGATTTCCAATGTTTTTGGCAAATTTAAAATCGATAGCTTCATTATTGCGACAAAGTAGAATGTTTACAACAGACATTACACAGATGGACAGATGATCAGACGAACAGGCGGACAGATGGACATGCTGAAATCGATTACGAATTTCATGCTGATCAAAAATGTATGAGATCTCTGATGCTTTCTTCTGGGCGTTGCAATATGGATTTTCCCAATAAATATTTATTCGACTCTTTTATGCACTCTATTACAACACTATGCGCTTTTGCCATTTGCTGCGACTAGTTTGAACGTACATTCCTTTGCGGCCTCCTTTGCAGAAATCAAGCGACCCGGATGTTGTGAGTGGAAACTCTATCATGTTTAGCTAAAAATTTCGAATAGTAGCAGGAGTTGTCCTGAAAACATCTGTCTTGTCCTGGAACATCTTCTCTCTAACACAGTTTTACCGACTCACAATAAACACAATGATAATAATCGTCATCATTATGCATTATCTGCATTTACGATGCCTTCAAACGCATGATAGGCTAAGGTGCTAAGGCGCCTGAATTTAGTTTCCCTTGAAGTCATATTCTCTTACGTCTTCTCGGCCTTTCGGGCGATGGTTCTGCACATTGTAAATCGTGATTATGGTATACGTAACTATGCTCCTTAACGACGTCTTCAATATTTTCAAAACTCAGATAGACTTAGTGCCATGATAACTATTCAAACAGCTTCTCATTACAATACAATAGCACGTCTTGCATGTTCGCTCATCGAGAATAAATGGAAAGTGGAAAACAGTAACTAAACGTCGGAGCACAGCGCGAAAAATTCAAACTTCTCATTGGTTTATTAACCGATATGCCGGGGGTCTCTAAGCGTTATAAGTATTTCTGACAAGCACATATATCTGATATGGTCGACCCGTTAGCAATGTCCACGCTTGCAGTATAAGATTTACAGAAAACGTTCTTTAAACGACTGCCTACGTAATGTGGCCAAATCCTCTCAAGAGGTAGGTAGGATCAAGTAAAGCTGACATACTGGATTTTTCAGAAGTTTGCAGGCATGTATCTGTTACACACAACAGACAACGAAGCGAACAGTTAATGAGAATTAGCGAATCAAATTATAGATGCAGGAAGGTCTCGAAGCTGCTGCAAAGCTCTTAATCCAGTTGATATTAGAATTTAGAGCATAACGTCAGCATAACTGATAACAAGAAATCACGCAAAACTGAGTTCGAACAATTGCCTCGTATTAGTTCAAGCATCAAAAGAATTCTTACATCGTTCAATCACGTGTATCCTTCTTTCATATATGCAACTGTGTCATGTCCACAATTATCAGCAAGAAGAGAAGAAGAGAATGGAAAACCAGCAAGCAGTTGACTGTTCATCAATTCGCATTTAAAACAAAAAAATAAAAAAATAAAAAATTTTATTATTGGGAATATATGGGAAGTGAAGCGAAACAGAGCTCCGATACGAGCTTTTTTGCAACAACACTCGGGCTTGTGTCAAAACACACGCCGGTATATTGCATTTCCTTGAAATATTTAGAAAATTGCAATCTGTAGCTTGAACACAAGAGTATCAGATGGATAGACGCACAGACAGACAGTGACAAACAGAAAGTGATTCTGAATCGATCGGTATGATAAGTAATGGATCTATCTCAAGTCCTTTTGGGTGTTACATACATCCGCGTAAACTTAACATACCGTTGTATCCAAACAAATGGCGTAGGGTGTAGTGGAAGTAAGTTAAAAAATTCATGTGCAATTAAGCTCGAATCCTTTATACTCCCGTCATCATTATCCTACACAGGCTTAAAAGAAAGAGAAGAGAAACCAAACTTCCATACCCGGTAACAATAGTTGAGTGCGACTGGTATATCATACCACCACCACAGAAGAATGGGGGGTATATTTATTTTGTTAAAACGTTTGCAAAGCCCAGAACGAAGCTTCAGAGCCAGATTGAAATTCGAAATACACCACAGGCACATGGGTCTGTTTGTCTGTCCAACTATGTAGTATATGTTGAGACGATCATTAGATAGGCGGAAAGGCATGCATGCTTGAATGAAGTTACTGTTCTCGATGTCGAGTGCGAGCTCGATTAAGCAGACATTCACGATTGGACCTCGCTTTGCAAGCTGATGCATCTTGATTGCCGGCTCTAATCGGAAAAAATATTTCAATCGACGGAACGACGGAATATTTTTTCGCATCATTATCATTGTATGCATCGCATATGATGATGCAAATAAATATGAAAAATAACAAGAAAGAAAGAAAACAATAAAGCGAGCAAACAAGGTAAACAAATACACAAATTTTTAACAAATGAAGGAAATAACAACAATACCTAATACTTACTTAACACAATGGCGGCTTCCGTCATTTTCCTGTTACTTCAACGAAAATTCGTATGAATAACGAACTACGAAAAGAAATCATACAAACATCCCAACGAGGGTGTATTAAGCGACAAGCGACTTGCCTTACCATCACGAGAGTAAGTTTGTATAGTTTTGTAAATTGTTCCTTTCAATGTTTGAAACGGTTTTTTGTTATTCTTACTTTATCGTTAATTCATTTTGGAAATGGCCATCTCCTCCACGCCCCGCCCGCATACTATTTGATAGATAATTTCTTAAAAATCCCGTCAAGTCTTCTTTTTAACAATTTTTGTTTTCTATCTTGCCGTTGATCATACCCTTTCTTCACTTTATGACGCCATAAAGATGAAAGCATCGAAAGTGATTACTTGGTCTATGATTCAGAAATTTTTCGCCCGACAGTAAGAAAAATGCACACAGATTCCGTAAAAGAGAATGATAAACCCGAACGCCAAAATTTGACTTCGGGATTACACGATATCAATAATTTGATACCAAGACCAAGAATACGCATATATATATATATATGCTTTTGGAGTCTCTGGGTGTTGCAAACGTTTCGACCAATGAAATGAAAATATCTGCCTACCCTTCTATGTACTTGGAATTTGTATTCAAGTTAATCTGGCTCAGTTTATATTCTTTTACTAAGCGTTTTTCCCAAGAGTACAGAGCATTGCAGTATTTTGCAGTACGATGCAGTATCACATATATGCAAGTCTTGGCATATTCTTCAGGTGCAATATATATTAATATGCCAAAATTTGGAAATTGGACACTAACAGACAGACGGATGAACGAATAAACAGCAGACTAATTATCCGGATCTCTGAAAACTAACGCAAAAGTCATATAATCTCTGCCCCAGGCAATTGTATATAGCTGCTAACATCTATAGAGGGTTCATTGTTTTTATGAGCTTGAAGAGGTTTTATTTATTGTTAAAAAGTGATACGTTGAGCG